CAAGGGGGGGGTGCTCATCCCTGTGCACCCCCATACCCACGAGCTTTGGGGTTCCTGCTCCTCTGGCTGCTCCTGGTGCCAGAGCGCTGCTCAGCTCCCTCCTGCTCTCGCAGGGCTACGAGCCGACTGTGTATTACCCCAAGCGCCCCAACAAGCCCCTGTTTGAAGGTTTGACCACCCAGTGCCAGAAGATGGACATCCCCTTCCTCCCCGAGTTCCCAGCCGAGGTGAGGAGCAGCCCCCAGTTAGGGAGCAGCCCCTGGTTAGGGAGCAGCCCCCCTTGGAGCCGTGCCCGGGGTTGTTTTTCCACCCTCCGCCTTCCCTCCCGCAGGCTGCACTCATCGATGAGCTCTACGGCCTGGTGGTGGACGCTATTTTCGGGTTCAGCTTCCAGGGAGCGGTGCGGGAGCCCTTTGGCAGCATCCTCAGCACCCTCGAGCGCATCACGGTGCCCATCGCCAGCATCGACATCCCCTCAGGTGAGTAACGGCTGGACCCTCCGGAGGAAGGTGCCCGGCTGGGGTCTCCGTGGCTCCAGCCTGGCCTCGGGGCTCGTTGCAGTCTGGGACGTGGAGAAGGGGAAGGCGGACGGTCTGCAGCCCGACATGCTCATCTCGCTGACGGCGCCCAAGAAGGCAGCGCTCCATTTTACCGGCCGCTACCACTTCCTCGGGGGCAGGTTCGTCCCCGCCGCCCTCCAGCAGAAATACGCTTTAAACCTGCCGCCGTACCCCGAGACAGACTGCGTCCTGCAGCTGACCTAGGGCTGGGGCTCGGCGGGGTTTGGCGCAGGAGATCGGGGCCTAATTCTGCCAAAGCCGCAGCTCTGTGCTAGGAGGGTGCTCAGCACCTCGCTGGGCTTCAGTCCTACCCAGCTCTGCCCGCAGGAGCGATGGTCGCCGCAGACCAAAGCCCCAGGAGCGACGGGGCGGCTGCCGGACGGGCTCTGTTGGGGGTTGCTACCAAATCCGAGTGCTTCTAGGTGTAGATGTGACCCAGGATCCTGGGATCTGCCACATAACTTGCACTTCAGGGTGGTTTTACTGCAATAAAGATTTATTCCTGCCCTTGAAAAAATAGTATTTCAATACTCTGGGGGGGGTTTGTCCCCCCTCGTGTCCCACTGGGACAGACCCATGGCGAATGGGTCCCTGCCCCAGGGCCTGGCGGGAAGTGGGGTCACTCCTGATGGCAGGAGGGGGAAGGCTCAGGGAGTGAAATAAAGCTCCATCCAGCTCCAGACCAACCAGTCCCAGCCCAGCATCCCCAGGCACAGCTGGGCCCCAGCGCTGGGCTCCACGTGGGAAGAGGCAGGAGCACCCTCGGGCACCCACCAGCGCCAGCAGGCAGGATCGGGACCCTCACAGCCAGATGGTACCAGCAGCTGCGCAGCGTGGCAGCCTTGGCCCTTGATCACTCTGGCTCCCTCCTCCTCCTCTTCTTCCTCTTCTTCCTGGGTCTGTGCCCAGCCTCATCTGGTCCATCTCTGTCTTCTAGAGGTACCTCTGTCTCAGCCAGCTCTTCTTCATCCCCCTCCTTCTTCTTTGTCTCAGATGGCTCTTCTTTGTCTCCCTCCTCTTTCTTCTTCTTCTTCTTCTTCTTTGTCTCAACCAGCTCTTCTTTGTCCTCCTCCTCCTGCTTCTTCTTCCTCTTTGCAGCCTTCCCTTCCTCTTCTGCCACCTCCTCTTCTCTGCTTGGCTCCTGGTTCTTCTTCTTCTTTCTCTTCTTCCTCTTCACGACCTTCCCTTCCTCTCCCGCCATCTCCTCTTCTCCACTTGGCTCCGGGCTCTGCAGTACCTCGGGATCAGCTGCGTCCCTGGGCTGTTTCCTTTTTTTCTTTTTCTTTTTTTCCTGCCTCTCTGCTGGGGGCTCGTGCTGCCCCTCCTGGTGTCGGTACGTGGCCAGGAAGGCTCGCTCCTGCTCCTCCAGGCGCGCCAGCTTGGCACTCATGGTCAGGCCGTGGCGGGCACCCCTGCAACGATCGTGGGCAGCCGGGGGCTGGCAC